TCCCCCTGGGGGTCGCCAGCCGACACTGTTTGGCCGACGGCACCCTGAGGAGGCCCGCTCTGTGGGAGCGTACCGGTCGATGGGAGGTAATCTGCGGCAGAAGGCGGTCTCGGAGATACCCAGGTCCGATGCCATGGAGCGCTTTAAATGTGGTAACCAACACCTTGAAGCGCACCCGGAAGGCTACCGGCAGCCAGTGTAGCTCACGCAAAAGCGGTGTTATATGGGAGCGACGAGTCCCTCCCAACACCGCCCGCGCGGCCGCATTCTGGACTAGCTGGAGCCTCCGGATGCTCCTCAAGGGGAGCCCCATGTAGAGAGCATTGCAGTAGTCCAGGCGGGAGGTGACGAGAGCCTGGACTACTTTTCAGACCTTAAAGGTGATATTATATGAATGGCTTGTGTGAATGAGGAACAGATGATTTTTGAGAATAATAACATTCATTGACTTCCTTTTCTGTTTTGGTTTTCTGCTATATAGTGATTGTTACCAGTAATAGGCAAAGGCAGAATGGAAAAAAATAGCATTTGTCGCCTTTGTGTCTATTAAATTGATAATTGCACATTTGTTTTTTTACTGATCTTCACTCTGATTTGTTGTCTCTACCTCTGCTCATCTGAGACCATATGCAACCATTTACATCCATATGTTTATTAGGAAGAAATAGTAGAGATCTTAGCGATAAATGGACCATAGCAACTAATTAGTATTGGGGAAGACTGCGTTTCGGCAGTAATTCATTGGCATGTGCTTAAAGGATGTTTTGAAACTGTAAGACTTCCCACTTTCATGAGTTAGGTTTATTCTTCAAATTACTGTCTTTCTGTATATTGGGATGACAACTCCCATAATTCACAGCAAGTATAGCTTTGGACTGTGTGTGCTAATATTTCTGGGCATTGTAGTACTAGCACATCTGGAAGAGTGGGCTAAATAAGGGAAAGCTGCAGTCTCCTTATTCTTGTCGAAATCATGTGGTATACTGTACTAAATTCTGTCTTTATCGTTCCTATTTTCCTATCATTCCAGGTAGAAGAAATTGTTGATGTAGGGTCATTTTCCCCGGAAGATATCCATGTCCCCAAAATCTACGTCCATCGTCTCATCAAAGGGGACAAGTATGAAAAAAGAATTGAGGTAACTCTTAGGTGGGTTTGGAACTGGTCTGTGAATATGGGTGTGTTTGCAAAATGTTTCCACTGGCAATGTTAGTTTGGATTTGGTGATTTAAGCGAGAAGCAGGGAACAGTTTCAGGTGCTGAACCCAAGTCTCCAGAGACAGGTAATCTCTTAACTCCTGTCCCTCTCACCTCCAGACATGCAGCACAGGCAAATCTGATCTATGCTTTGTACAAACTCATGTGTGAGACAGCAGATAACTTAAAAAATCATTTCCTTGTGGAACAATGGTAATCTTTGATTCCCTTATGGGGATATCACTCCTAAAGAATAACTTTGGTCCCAGGATGAATTTTAGGGTATGTGATACATCAAACTTGCTGATAATCCGGGCGGGGGGGAGAGAGGGAGGTGACCTCATTGGTGTCTCACTTTGAAATTGCTCTGAATTCTATGTATACTATCGTGGATTCTGTGAAAGAAATTAGACCATAAATAGAGGCATCATCTGGTACTTGTTGCAATTGCAGTCAAATGATTGGTTCATAGCAGATGTCTCCCTGGCACTGTTATTTTTTTTCCTTAAGAGAAGCTTACAAAAGGAAGAGATCCATGGAATGACAAAGAGTTTTGCTCTCTCTTTTTATATTTAGTAGTGCCAAAAATGTGAGCCAGTTTGGTGCAACAGTTGGGATACCAAGTTAGAAACTGAAGAGACTATGAATTCTAGTTCTGCCTTGGGCATGAAGCCAGCTGGGTAACCTTGAGCTGGTCACTCTCTCTCAGTCTTAGCAAAGAGACAATAGCAGCCCATTTCTGAAAAACCTTGCCAAAAAAACTGCAGTGGCTTGTCCAGGCAATCACCAGGAGTAAACACTGACTCAAAGTCACATGCCCACAAAAATGCTGAAAAACATTTTAATTCTGCTGAAAAATAGCTCTTCACATTCCCAGTTTGAGCCTAGTTTTCTAACAACAACAACAACAACAACAACAACAACAATAATAATAATAATAATAATAATAATAATAATAATAATAATAATAATAATAATAATAATAATAA